AAAAACAATATTTAAAACTTAAGAGACGCGACATATCATCCACATGTAAATGACTTTTAAATTTTGTTTTCCAGTAAAGAAAGATAGACTCTGTTAAATGTTGTAATTAGTTAAAGGCATACCAGTAAATAAAAGCTCACAGAACAGCTAACTTTGTTTTTTATCAAGTTATATTAAGCTTTTTCTGTTTTTTTTTTTTTGTCCCATTGAAATGCACGTAGAATTCACAGATTTCAGCACAATTCAGCTAAAACTTCACCATATTTTACCTTTAACTACTTCAGCATACATTCAGCTAGAAACACCATCCAACTTTTTAAATGTTCATCAAAGATTCAGCTATTCAGTTTTAACTCTTAACTTTTTTTTCTTTTTTACAAAATTGGGATTCAAACTTTACACAAAATTTTTCAGGTTTTCAATTTTATAATGCTATTAATGGGAGATGGTAGCTTAACAACACATCACTGCTTCTTCCAAACTGTTTGATTTACAAACATGAAACCTGGCACATATCATCATCAGACCTTAAGAGACACTTTTAGACTTTTTTTTCTGGTACATCAAATTTCAGGAAATGTTCTTCTTTTAGGTTGAGTGGGATTCTGCCATAATTCTGCAAAATGATTTTACCCTACAAAATCTTCAGATGATTGAATTGTTTTCTGTAGTTTGAAGTTTCTGATGACTTCCTATCACATTGTCGTATGTTCTTCAGCTATTTTTTTTCTCCTTTATTCAGATTCTTTAGCAAATTTTTCTTTTTTCATTCAGCAGAAAAATGCATTCACACTTCGCTGATTCTCTGAATCAGCTTTTTCTAGTTTTATTTGCCTTCGGTTTCTGGGCTCAAAACGTTTGTCCCACCCATAAGGAAAATGAAGGCAAGGATTGGCTCCAACTTAATACGTCATACGCATGTTGCATTTAAGAAACTTGGAAATAAAGTATTCACCTGTTTATTTTTAATAAGTAAAACCAGTTGAACCTAAAACATATTTATATTCTTGCTTGAGAATGTTACATAGGTCATTTGGATATTAGGATTACAAAAAATACAGAGAAGCTATGTCTTTTGTCGTCTTAAAATAAATAAAGAAATGCAACATTTTATTTAACTTTGGCTGAAAAGTTTATCATATCAAAGTATTTCACTTAAATTTACAAATGAACAGGCATTTCATTCTTTGAGCATTAAACTTTCAATAATACTAACCCTCATTTACTGGTATTAAAGTTCTAACAACAATCAGAGTTTTCAAGTTTTGAGAAAAGCTTGCGGTGAGATCTGGATCAGGTGGAATAAAAAAAAAAAAAAAGTGGGATAGACCAGAATATCACTGATGTCACACAAAAAAGAGGAAAACAACAGGATTATTGCATTGAAAATTAAGGTTGCTGAAATGAGAACAATACATTAAAAGCTAGTTTTAAGTTGAGAAATATTGAGTCTAATGTCAAAAGAATGACTTCTGGCATCCCTGGAAAAAAATATATCTATCTGTATAAATCCTTAACAGCATAAAGCATGTTAAAATGTTTACGCCCTTCGGAATTACAAACTTACAATCATAAATGTACCTACTCTACCTGCCTACTTTTATTACCCACCCAATTGGCTCCTTCCTCCCCCTAACGTCAGCAGGCTTATATAAAAGTCAGCATGAGGAACTTTGTCACCCAAGGGAAGCCCATTGAAGACAGCCAAGATGGTAAGTAGTACAAAAAGTTAGGTTGAGATTAACGGCTTAACTTTTGACATTGACATATATCTGGGGTTAGACTTAAAAGTATTTAAACATCCTTAATTTTGTAAGTATTTAAGGCTTAATTCAAATCTATTTAGTAATATGTGTTGAAGTTTAAAGATTTTGTCCCTTTAAAATGATTGAAACTATGTATACACAAAGGATCAATAAGTGTATTTGGTTTTGATTCAGTGTTTGTGCATTATTGTTTTAGCAAATGTTTAGCAAATGAGTGTTTAAAATCTGTGCGATTCTTGTGCAAAGCCTTTTTCGGACACTTCCTTTTACGCTCATAAAAACTTACAGGATGCCTGCCTCAAAAGTTGTTGAGACAAAAGAAAGAAATTACTTATTAAGAATATTTTGTACTGGTATTTTTTTTCTCCGCTATTTAAGTTATAAACGTTGAGAAAAGGTGCTTTTTACATCACAAACCTATGCATGACCTGTTTTGGCTGGGTTAATATTTAACAATATTGGTATGTCTTTTTATTATTTACTTTAAAAATCTTGCTTTAGACTTAAGTATTATTCTTTTAAATAAAGACAGACAAAAATGGTCATTGGCATCAAGTGCTGCTTCTTAAAAGCTGTAATTTCCCATGCAGTTATATCATTTAAGTAATAGGAATACCTGTCAAATAATGCAACCTTTACAAGTTGTAACTTAGGACATGCCCAGGGAAGGGAGGACAGGCAATGTTCTGCAAAATCTAACTAACTAACTTCCGCACAGGGACAATTAAAGGAAAACCCACTGAATATTTTCCAGCATCTTCTCTGCAAAGTCAATGATAAACCTAATCTTACAACAAGGGGTTGTATAAAATGAGGCAATAACAGGTGTGGTACAGATATAGGGGCTGAATACTGAAGTTCATATTTAAACTATGAGCCCAGCACCTAGACAGCAAGCACCCCTATGAATGGGGTTTATTGCTTTATTGACCAGATAAACGGCTTCATTGAACTTTCTTGGAAAGTCAGGGTGACCTTTTCAAGAAAAAATGCCCAGAATTGAACATGGCCCTTGAAAAAAATATATCTATATATATATTTTTTTACCCATATATATATATATGTATATATATATTATTTTTTTTCCCCAGATCTATCTACAGTATAGACTGTAGAACTTTGTACTGCAAAGAGTCATTAAGTGGGCATTGCTTTTATGTTTTTACTGCATCTGCATGATGGCCACAGGTCTCTGAACAAATAAAGCATCTTCCTGTTTCTACTTTTTTTCACAACCGTGGGTACATAGTTTTAACAGTAGTTGATCATCAACTGCTGAGATAAGAACAGAGCTACACATCCCTTTTATCAGGGTAGGTGTACAGCATTACTAAGAAAAAGACTATTGATATATTAGTGACATAAAATTACTTATTAATATATCAGCTTAAATTAGATTTTTCTGAAGAAGAAAAAGCATTCATCAAAAGTGTTCTACTTTATAATGATAAATGATTTTCATCTGTAGTAACTATAAATTTGGTGTTTGCCCAAATAAAATAAATACACTATCAATTGCAAGAATTTCTCACCTCTTTTTTCACAGAAAGTCAAAGACATGACATTCAAGATGGGGCAGGAGTTAAAGGTCCGAGTCAGGCCTGATGACGACTCTGAAAGGTATGCAAGTACTTCTCTATAGGTTCAATAAAGCTTTATCTGCTTGGATATGTAGATTTAAGCTCAAATTTCCTCAAGAGGAAGAAGCACAGTATAATACAAGTTTATGGCAATGTGCTTCTTCCCCTTTTTTACCTGTTTCTGCCATAGATTTGCAATCAACATCGGTCATGATCCTGAGAACATTGCAATGCACTTCAACCCTCGCTTCGATTATGGAGGAGCCGAGAACATTATCGTCTGCAATTCCATGTCTGGAGGGAGCTGGGGTGAAGAGCAGCGAGACAGTTTTTTCCCATTTGTGCGTGGGGAAGAATGCAAGGTATGTTTATAGAATTATTCAAAAAAATCAACAAATACATAGATAAAAATAACATAAAATCTCTCAGAAATTTGTGAAATTAGACTTAAGCACACATTATCTAGTACAGAAACATAATAAAAGAGTCCATTGTATAAGATATGAAATATCAAGCTGTCAAAAGAATGACAGCTTTTCTTTCTGTAAAATCTGGAAAATATTCTGTAATTTAAGTATATTATCAAGTGAGATTAAGTTTAGTTGCAACAGGTAAACACAAGATAAGTGCCACCAAGTCATTTTCTATATATTTTATTTAATTATAATGATAGGGACATATAGATCAATCATTGTTTTTTTTTATAAAATAAATACTTAACAGGATTTTTCTGAACTGAATTCCTCTTTAGCTGCAATATGAAACAAAGTTGATATAAGTAGGCTTGTGCTTCATCAGTTACATTAGTTCAATATGTTAAATGATAACAGATGAATGAACAAGGTAAATGGGACGTGAAGAGTTTTAACCAAAGAATGAAATTTTTTTTCTCTCATTTAAACAATTTTTCTCTCTCTCTCTCTCTCTCTCTCTCTCTCTCTCTCTCTCTCTCTCTCTCTCTCTCTCTCTCTCTCTCTTTTTTTTTAAAAAACAATCTACAGTTTTACATCAACTTTAACAATGAGCAGTTTTACATCAAACTTCCAGATGGTACCATGATGAACTTCCCCAACCGCCTGGGAGATGTGAAGTACCAGTTCTTTGAAGTCACTGGCGGTGCAAGAATTGTAGGAATTAAGATCAAGTAGAGGATAAACTCCTCAGAATATATTCTGATCTGACACCTTTCACATGATTTTCAAGCTGCAGAAATAGTGTTTTAGAGTGCTCTTCCAGCCCAGATTGCTTGTCTTCTGTAAGGCTGAGGTAACTTGAATACCGGCTGTGATGAGAGAAGAAGGCCTTAAGATGGAGCCAAAGCATATCTTATTTACCTGCTGTTGCTAGCTGAATGTCTTCAATAAAAGCTTTAAAATTTTGGACTCTTTCTCTTTAAGTGTGTAATAATATCATTGCACTTATAATAAAATAAAAAAAAGATTCCATGTTATTTGTTCTTAATTGTACACATAATTCACAGAATACCCATGATATATTCAAAATGTGAAGAGAGAGAAATTTCCTGCCTACCATAAAAAAATGGGTGAAAACTGTGCTCATTTTTTATTCCAGAAATGTAATGTCTTCTATCAAATCGCGGGTTGCTACCAACAAAAATACTGTATTGTAAGGAAAACATAGTAAGGAAGCTATAAAAAACAACAACTTTGAAATAGGCTTCCATTTTATTTTCAGCATTGAGCATCATTAACAAAACATTAACATTAGAAAAAGCCAGACAAAGAAGAATAAAGCACAGCAAAGTGGAAAAAGGGACTGAATTTAGCATATGTTAGATGGATCCTCTGTCAGAAACAATTTACAGTGGGGCTCAAAAGAACCCTGTAGAGAGGCCGAGGAATGTAACACAATTTAAACACATTCCCTGGTAGGGGAGATATCTTTATTTACAAGATAAAAACTATGCTTAACACAGCCTTAACCAAATGAGAGATGCAGTTTTTGAAGATTTATTAAACTCATGATTATATAAAAAAAACGTGGGAAAAAAACAACTTACAAATAACATACAAATAACATTTTAGTATTTGTCATTTTCTTCAGAAGCAATCACAGTCTCACATTAGTCTATCAAATATCCATATCTGCTGGTCTGTCCCCTTTATAGGTGTCCTTTATCAATGTGAAACAGAAATCATCCATTAACTGCATTTAATAATGGGTATAGTTAAATTAATATTTATAGTCTAGTTTAATTGTAAAACTCTACTTTAATATCATAAGTAGGCTGAGGGGAAGTATTTTCAACTGAGGTATTAGAGGAATATGTCATAAGTCTACAAGTTCAAAATTAAAGGTTAAATGTTTAAGATCTCAAGTAGTTGATCTGGGAACAAGAAGAGCAGTTTGCAGAATAAACAAAATAAAAACAATTAACATATTTAGCATGTACCCTTTTGAACAGAGCTACCTTATAAGCCGCCTCCATTTGGGCAACGGATTGATGGCTTTTCTGTACCATTTCCATTCTCTGTCTTTCATTTAGGAATGCCTCGTTATTCTTAGACATCTTTGATTCTTTACATGATCAGGTTTTGGTTAATGTGTCTACAAGGTTTCAATTGTATTTTTGATTTTACTATAACTGAAATGTCTTCTCTCTGGCTTATAATTCTAAAATGTAACCTGACTGGACAGCGATCTATTAAAGTTCTTGAAGAGGTGTCGTAACAGCTGTTCCAGGATCAGCCTTGGTCGATCCCCCCGACTGACCTTTTTGAGCTAAATAATCTTTATAATTTCGAGTCAGAAGAGTGTAAAGGAATGGATTAATACAGCTGTTTCCATACGTGAGACATGTGACAAAGAAATTGACATAATTATGAGCAGCTGCAGACAAAGCTTTGAGGGAATCTGGGGAGAAAAGTTTAGTGAGCTGCCATCCCCAAAAAGGTAAGAAACATGCCCAATATACTACTACAATGCTTAATATCATTGACAACACTTTTTGTTTGAGTCCTTTCCTCCTGGTTGAGAGGCTACTGCCCCCCAAACTAGCCTGCACTGTCCAGTAACGCTTTGCTAGTCCAGCATACAATCCAACAATTATCAATCCAGGGACTAAAACACTTGTGAAAAACAGTACTGTGAGATAGGCCTTAAAGGCCTCAGGTGTCCAGGTAGGGAAACAGATTCTTTTTACAAAGCCATACACTGTAGGCTTGCCTTCCCGGAGCTGTATCATTACCATCATGGGAAGTGTAAGGATGAAAGCCAACCCCCAAATAATAACTGCACTGAGTCTTCTACTGCGAGAAGAGGATTTGTGGGCGCTGAAGGGCTTGGCCACGGCTCGGTAACGTTCTAAGCTCATTGCAACCAAAATGAAGACGCTGGAATGCATTGTTAGAAGATCCAGACTCAGCAGAATGCGGCAACCTGCCTCACCAAACAACCAGTCATGGGAAAAGTAGGTGCAGACAACAAAGGGTATGGTGGAAAGGTAAAGCAGGTCAGCCAGAGCTAAGTTAACAATGTAAACATACATAGAACCCTTGCGGCACAAAGCAGCTGAGCGCGTAACGATGAGTGTGTAAATGTTGCCTGCCAATCCTACAGCACACATGACTAAAAGTGTGGCACCAAGCAAGGAGGTCACCCACAAACCTCCACTGGTAACAGCCCCACTGCCACCAGCTATGGAAGTTTCATTTGCAGTCCTTGGGATCAGATCAAGTCCCAGCTCGGTGATGATGGTGGCATTGGGAGTGCAGTTCATCGCAGGTTTATGTATCAAGAGATGAAGTGGACAGGGTCTCTGTCTGACTTTATGAGGAAATCTTCTAAATAATCCAAGTTAAAATCATACATTTCTTGACAGTTTATGGTGTTTGGGACCAGTAAAACCTAATCAAAGAGAAAACAAAGAAACTACAATAAGTGTTAGGGACAAAATGGTAATGTGGAGAGCAAAATTAAATGCAATACTTACATATCTTAAGTCCCAAAACTGCTTGTTTCTTCTAGTATGAGATGCCCAATTCTTTAATGCCCTCAATCGTGTGATCTCAAGGAGACCTCAAGAATACATGTTTTCACTGACAGACAGCATAACTTGCTCCCAATGGGGCAAGATTAAAGTGGAATGACACAATGTATAAGCAGTAGGAAACCACAGCCCATAAAATGGTCAAACTGTACTTCACGTCTTTGACAGTGAACTCCCACAGTCCTAACAGGTTCTTGAGATGACTCCAGTTGGTAATATCACAGAAACAGAAAATTGGAGAAATGGAGAAAAAGAAAATCCATGTATTTATTTAACTAGTTGAAACTTCAGTCAAATCCAGTCATTCAAAATGTCTTGGAGACAAATTAGATTATATGAGCAGTTGTTCCACACCCATTCCGAGTCTAGCTTATTACTCTTGTCATGGTCTTCTTTTTCAAAATTGCCATTTGAGTTATCAATGTCAAAAATCCTTTATTTCCATATAATCCATGATGATTTCTTGCTGGTCTTGTTAATCCAAGTGGTTTCCCGTAGTAGCTGATCAACCAGCTATTTCTCCTTGGTTCTGAAAATCAAGCCTTGACAAACCACTACTGCCTTTGAAGTTTTCTTGGTTGTAGTGTTCTATCTCCTTTCCCATCTTTCCTCCCTCTTTCTCACTGAAGTGTAAATCTGACATGGGCCTAATGATTTACGTGGTATTCCTCTCAGGCCTCAACCTAATGTCTCTAAACACCAAGGTGTGGTTTTAGACACCACAAACTGCTGGCAGAGTCAACAGTAAGTGACTACTGTATACAGCCAGTCAGGGTTTAATATACTTCCATCAAAGTTTTAACAGTTATTTCGAGCTTTTGATTATGAGTTAAAACAACGTTCTGGGGGAAACGTTGTATTTAAGCAAATAAGAACTTCATGAATATTTTAAACACAAGTTTAAAGTCAGTGTTAATTTCTCTGTAATCCACATAGGTTGATATGTATATATATATATATATATATATATATATATATATATATATATATATATATATATATATATATATATATATATATATATATACACTACCGTTCAAAAGTTTGGGGTCACCCAAACAATTTTGTGGTTTCCTGAAAAGTCACACTTATTCACTTATTTTTTACATCAAACTTTGCTTTCGTCAAAGAATCCTCCATTTGCAGCAATTGCAGACCTGTACCATTCTAGCCGTGAATTTGTTGAGGTAATCTGGAGAAATTGCACCCCACGCTTCCAGAAGCAGCTCCCACAAGTTGGATTGGTTGGATGGGCACTTCTTGCGTACCATACGGTCAAGCTGCTCCCACAACAGCTCAATGGGGTTCAGATCTGGTGACTGCGCTGGCCACTTCATTACCGATAGAATACCAGCTGCCTGCTTCTGCTCTAAATTGTTCTTGCACAAATTGGAGGTGTGTTTAAGGTCATTGTCCTGTTGTAGGATGAAATTGGCTCCAATCAAGTGCTGTCCACTGGTTATGGCATGGCGTTGCAAAATGGAGTGATAGCCGTCCTTATTCAGAATCTCTTTTAACCTGTACAAATCTCCACCTTACCAGCACCAAAGCAACCCCAGACCATCACATTACCTCCACCAAGCTTAACAGATGGCGTCAGGTATTCTTGTAGCATCTTTCAATTTGTTCTGCGTCTCACAAACGTTCTTCTTGGTGATCCAAACACCTCAAACTTGGATTAATCCGTCCACAACACTTTTTTCCAGTCTTCCTCTGTCCAATGTCTGTGTTCTTTTGCCCAACTTAATCTTTTTTTCTTTTATTGGCCAGTCTCAGATATGGCTTTTTCTGTGCCACTCTGCCCTGAAGCCCAGAATCCCTCAGCCGCCTCTTCACTGTAGATGTTGACACTGGTGTTTTGTGGGTACTATTTAATGAAGATGCCAGTTGGGGACCTGTTAGGCATCCGTTTCTCAAACTAGAGACTCTTATATACTTATCTTCTTGCTCAGTTGTGCAACGCGGCCTCCCACTTCTTTTTCTACTCTAGTTAGAGCCTGTTTGTGCTGTCCTCTGAAAGGAGTAGTACACACCGTTGTGGGAAATCTTCAATTTCTTGGCAATTTCTCGCATGGAATAACCTTAATTTCTAAGAACAAGAATAGACTGTTGAGTTTCAGATGAAAGTGCTCTTTTTCTGGCCATTTTGAGCATTTAATTGACCCCACAAATGTGATGCTCCAGAAACTCAATCTGCTCAAAAGAAGGTCCTTTTTGTAGCTTCTGTAACGAGGTAAACTGTTTTCAGATGTGTGAACATGAATGCACAAGGGCTTTCTAATCATCAATCAGCCTTTTGAGCCAATGAGCAAACACATTGAACAATTAGAACACTGGAGTGATAGTTGCTTGAAATGGGCCTCTATACACCTATGTAGATATTGCACCAAAAACCAGACATTTGCAGCTAGAATAGTCATTTACCACATTAGCAATGTGTAGAGTGTATTTCTTTAAAGTTAAGACTAGTTCAAAGTTATCTTCATTGAAAAGTACAGTGCTTTTCCTTCAAAAATAAGGACATTTCAATGTGAACCCAAACTTTTGAACGGTAGTATACAGTATATATATATATATATATATATATATATATATATATATATATATATATATATATATATGTGTATATATTTTTTTTTTTGATGTTTGGTTATTAAATTAATATTTATAAGTTGAACAGAATCCATTTCATTTTTGTAACTTCCAGTATAAGGGAATATTGGCTCACTGTTTTTTTTAGGTTCTCCATTAGCTCAAATAATGGAGTTTATTTAAACTGACTGATATACTTGTACAGATATTTTTATAGACTACAAGTTCAATTTCAGACTTAGGAGTCACAGTTTGGCATCTTGTCAAGTTGGGACATCCATTTGTCATAGTTATCCTCTTTTTAAAAAGTGTTGATTCGATTTTCTAACAATCCTAGGTATGATGGTGCAGCGGTTAAGAGCTAGACCCATTTAAGGAGGCAGTAGTCCTTGACCCAGCTGTCATAAGTCCCAACCCATTGTCCTTTGTTGCATGTTGTCCCTTCCTCTCTCACTGCAAGTCCTGTTTGCATAGTTTCAAAAATGCTAAAAGCAAAGACCACTAGTGCCTAAAAACATCTTTAAAAAGAATGTGGACCATCTGGAACACAAATTACACACACAAACCCCTTTTTGAAAAAACAAAAAGTGTTTATTATGGATTTTTAATAGTTAATACTCAGCCAATCGGCAACATGGAAACAAAAAGTACCTTTATTGAAAAGCAACATTTTGAAAATACTGAAATATCACATGTAGGCTTAGTAATAAAAGATAACATTTGTAGTCGTGGTAAACAGAAATAACAATTGTGGTGTCTAATGTGGTGTAGTAAGGTTTTTAAAATGTGATCTATCTTGATTTATCATTCTATAAAAAAGAATAAAATGGTGGAATCTGGGTTCTCATGTATAAAACATTGTGTGGAATACAAAATAAAAGTGTATAGTATGTACAGTATGCAAAAACCCAAAAATGGAGTACCCCATACACAGTTTTTTTTTTTTTATCTTTATTAAACCAGGTGTACGCTGGTCAATTTCATTTATAAATCCCAGCTGTGTCTCAAATGTTTTACCTAAGACTCCACATCATGCCCAGCCCTCTTTAATACAGGGTATTTAATTTGAAGTTGGTGTACGCAAATTTCAGGCCTAGGTTTGTACATGTGCAAGCTTTATAAATGACACCTCTGGTGTGTTGACGCTTGAGATCAGAGTTAGATAATTTTAGAACATAGTGAAGTTCCAGATGTTTCTGGGATCACTTTACCGACTCCTAAAGATGCATGTAGAGGGTGAAAGATCTGGAGTCTAATTAATAAAGGTTTTATAAGCACATAAAATGGGCCTGAAATTTGTGTATGTCATCTTCAACACAAAAGTTGCCATATAAAACAAAAAAAGCCATGACAAATACACACACACACATATTATATATATATATATATATATATATATATACACACACTCCATGCAGTAGTCAGTGTAGAATATATGAAAGATAATCCCCAGGATTTCTATCTGGCATGTTGGTACATAAAGATTATCAAAAAGTTTCAGTTTTCATAAAAAGCTGTGCTACATGGAGATGCGGCTAAAACACACAACTGCTGGCATTTCTTTACTTTACTTGGAAAAGTTTAAGTGGGCTTCAGTAACTTTTATTTTTGGAGCACATAAAAATGCAAGCATGCGTAATATATATATAAATATATATATATATATATATATATATATAGTATGTTTATTTTAGAAGTTGTAATTTTTTTTACCTGTAGCAACATTGCAGTACAGACATTAGTTCAAAAAAATTATTTCCTTCTCTTTAAAGAAAACAGTGTTTCATATAGCCTCACTTATTCTACTACCTGCTACTTAACTAACAAAGAAAGTTTATTTTAATCAGTTACAGAGCTTATTAGCTTTAAATTAATTACTTTTATTACAATTTCATACAACTTACTGTTTCATGAAAGCTTTGTCTCTAAAAATATTGTTTGCCAGACAAATTCTTGCATATTATTCAATATGAGCATGTAGAAAGAATGCTTTTCATATTTAGTCTGCAGTCTCAAATATTCAGTTCATTCAAAGGTAAAAATCTTTCAACATGTTAAATGAAATAAAAATCTGATAATGAAATTAATGTGCTATTTATCCTATGTGTCCATAGTTTTCTAAACACGCAACAAGCTCCAGCTTGTTAGCAGAAGAGTCACTTTTGGACTTGCAGACTGTTGACTGGCGAAGAACCAAGGGAAACATCTCAAAAGCCTCTGATCTGTCAGTGTCTGTGCCTTAACAAGGCCTCCACTTGAATGCAAAAAAAAAAAGGTTAGAGAACTAATAAAGTTTAATCAAGGAGAAAAGCTACCATCATTGACTGTATAAGCAGATGAAACGTTTCAGATATAATCAGGTGATACATTTTTTTTTTTACATAAGTGTGCTACTGTACAAAAGCAAGAAAAACCAAACATTTGAAATAAATTGAATATGTGTGTGTTTTGTTTCCCAAAAATCATTGCTCAAAAGGAAAACATTACATTTTTATGTTAGTCTGTTAATGTTACTCTGAGCTCAAATCTGTACTATTTCCCCTCTAAATTTACATTAACAAGACAATACTAATCAAGAATAGCCAATACAGAGACATGGATTGTATTTATTTCCCACCTCCTGTTTTTGACAAGCTTTGACTGTATCAATACTGATCTGCACCATAAAAAACAACTTAAAATATAGATAGAATAACTGCATTTTACATGTATATTCTGTCTTTTATTGATGGCATTAGGAGATGCAATCTCAGGGCATACTGTATGAACTGCAAGAACAAGCACTGTATAATATGGTTTTACTAGTATATAACAAGCAAAGAAAGAAATATCACATATTACGTTTGTGCATCTTATACTTCATAGTAGTCTTTTCAGCATACCATTCATAAAAGCATCTGCTCTGTCCAGCCATATTTTCTTTAAGTACCGGTATTTATCTCTCTCACTTTCTTAAAAGGTGAATGAATCAGGGAATACCTAACTATTTGTGGAAAATACACTATATCTTTTTAAATAGCTCCCTAGATGAACTTCCTGTTTGGACCTGTTCACTTCCTGTTTGGATTAACTGAGTGTGCAGCTGCTGCAGCTGTCCAGAGGAACTCCATCTGACGTTAAGTTATTTTCTCTGTGATATCTCTGTATCTAAGTAACTCTAACTGACTACTTTAAAACATAGCACCTTCTGCTGCACTTTTCTACTGAGCACTTGTCAGTTTCACACGGTTTTATTTCTGATAGCAAGGAGTAGCTAGCCTAGGCTAGCGCTAGCTTAGCATTGCTATGGCTTCTCTCTCTCCCTCCCTCTCTTTTCCAACTCTTCCTTCTTCCTCTCCTCTCTCCTGCTCTCTGTGTCAGATGTTCAGTTATTCCTCTGCCTCCTTTAGTGATAATGGGATGTGTAATAAGTGTAGTATTTTTGTAGCTTTGGAGGCGAGGGTATCAGAGTTAGAATCCAGGCTTCAGGCTGTTGAACATCCAGGAGTTAAAGTAGGCCCCCCACGTAGCTGTCCTCCAAAAGTGCCTGAGCAGCCAGGCGATTGGGTAACTGTACGCAGAAAGCGTAGTCGTGGATCTCTGCCCACTGGTCACCACCAACCCGTTCACGTTTCTAACCGGTTTTCCCCACTCAGTGACACACCCACTGAGAAGCCCACTCTGGTGATTGGCAGCTCCATAGTCAGAAACGTGGCATTAGAGACACCAGGGACCATAGTCAAATGTTTGCCGGGGGCCAGAACGGGCGACATCAAATCCTACCTGAAACTACTGGCTAAGGATAAGGTTAAATACAGTAAGATTGTTATTCACGCTGGTGGTAATGACACCCGGTTACGCCGATCGGAGGTCACTAAAATTAGTGTTGCTTCGGTGTGTAAGTTTGCCAAAAAAATGTCGGACTCCGTAATTTTCTCTGGTCCCCTCCCTGATCTGACCAGTGATGACATGTTTAGCCGCATGTCGTCATTCAACCGCTGGTTGTCTAGGTGGTGTCCTGAAAACAACGTGGGCTACATTAATAATTGGCAATCCTTTTGGGGAAAGCCTGGTCTGATTCGGAGAGACGGCATCCATCCCACTTTGGATGGTGCAGCTCTTCTTTCTAGGAATCTGGCCACATTTATTAGTCCTCCAAAACCCTGACCACCCAGGGTGCAGACCAGGAAGCAGAGTTGTAGTTTAACACACATCTCTGCAGCTTCTCTACTGTTACCCACTCTTTACTCCATCCAGACAGTGTCTTGCCCACGACCAAAATCTAATAAATTAGCAAAGATTCCCAAAGGAGTAAATCATGATAATCTAATTAAAATCAAAATAACTCCAAGTGGGGAAAAAGTTAAAACAATTAAATGCGGTCTGTTTAACATAAGATCGCTTTCCTCTAAAAGTCTGCTAGTTAATGACTTGATTTGTGATAATCACATTGACTTGTTTTGCCTTACAGAAACCTGGCTGCAGCAAGAGGATTATGTGAGCATAAACGAGGCAACTCCTTCAAGCTATTTAAATTTTCACATACCCAGAAGTTCTGGGCGAGGAGGAGGAGTAGCAACAATCTTCCAGTCTGACTTACTGATTACTCCCAAAACAGTTAACACCTACAACTCTTTTGAACATTTAACCCTTAATTTCCCTCATCCAAATTTCAAGGTAAGAAAACCTCTTCTTTTTGTAACTTTGTATCGTCCGCCAGGTCCTTACTCTGAATTTTTAGATGAGTTTTCAGAGTTCCTTTCTGATTTGGTATTAAATACTGACAGGGTCATCATAGTGGGAGATTTTAACATCCATGCTGACATTGAAGGCGATAGCTGAAGAGCAGCCTTTAATGCTATCTTAGACACTATTGCTTTTGTTCAAAATGTGAATAGTCCCACACATTCTCATCTTCATACTTTGGATCTTGTGCTGACATACGGCATAGAATGTGAAGAAATAACAGTATTTCCTCACAACCCTGTCCTCTCTGACCACTTTCTAATAACCTTCAGGATTACTTTAACAGAGTTCTCCTCCCCCAAAAGAAGGTTCAATTTTAGTAGATCTTTATCAGATAGTGCAGTTATACATTTTAAAGAATCGGCTTCACTTTCTCTCTCCTCTGTGTCGCTGAGCAGTGCTGCAGAGTGCAAAAGTATAGCTTATTCCCCTTCACAGGTTGATGATTTTGTTGATGGGGTTGCTAGTTCTCTGCGTACTGCCTTAGACAACGCAGCTCCTTTGAAAATGAAAACCGTTAAAAATAGAAAGCTTGCTCCTTGGTTTAATGCAGAGCTGCGTACTTTGAAGCAAAATGCTAGGAAACTGGAGAGAAAATATCGCTCCACAGGCCTGCAGGAGTCCTTCCTAGTCTGGAAAAATGGTTTACTGCTGTATAAGAGGACCCTTTGTAAAGCAAGAGCAGCATACTTCTCCTCATTAATAGAGGAGAATAAGAATAATCCTAGATTTCTTTTTAATACAGTTGCCAAACTCACCCAGAGCCATAGCTCTGTTGAACCGTCCATTCCACCTGCTCTTAACAGCAATGATTTTATGGGATTCTTTATAAATAAGATTGATCTTATTAAAAATAAGATCATAAGCACTCCTCTATCCGCGATTGTACCTGAGGTAGTCATGGAATCTGAACCGGGTTTAGACTGCTTTGATCCAGTTGAACTTTCTGAATTAGCAAAATTATTGTCTTCATCTAGGCCTTCAACTTGTATGTTAGATCCAGTTCCAACCAGGTTATTTAAGGAGGTATTCCCTTTGATCTCCTCCTCCATTTTAGATGTGATTAATCTATCTCTGTTACAGGGATATGTACCTAAAGCTTTTAAGGTTGCTGTAATTAAACCTCTGCTTAAGAAACAGTCTCTTGACCCAGATGACTTGGTTAATTATAGACCTATATCCAATCTTCCTTTCTTATCCAAAATTCTTGAGTAGTTGCCAAACAAGTTTGCGACCACTTACACCATAATGAACTTTTTGAAGAGTTTCAGTCTGGCTTTAGAGCTCATCATAGCACTGAAACAGCTCTGGTGAAAGTCACTAATGATATTCTCATGGCCTCAGATAATGGACTTGTATCTGTGCTCGTCCTGTTGGATCTTAGTGCTGCATTTGATACAGTTGACCATAATATTCTTTTAGAAAGACTTGAATATTTTGTTGGAATTAAAGGAACAGCACTAGACTGGTTTAAATCCTATCTATCTGATCGAATTCAGTTTGTTTATGTTAATGATAGATCTTCAACACACTCAAAGGTTACCTGTGGAGTACCACAGGGATCAGTGCTAGGACCAATTCTCTTTACTTTATACATGCTCCCAATTGGTAGAGTTATTAGACAGCATGGGATTAATTTCCACTGTTATGCTGATGATCCCCAGCTATATCTGTCTATAAATCCAGATGAAGCTAACCCATTACATAGATTACAAGCATGTCTTGAAGACATAAAAACCTGGATGACTCTTAACTTTCTGCTTCTGAATGCAGACAAAACAGAAGTTATAGTCTTTGGACCAGAGTCTCTGAAAAAGAAGCTGATTAGCCAGTCACTTCATTTGGATGGGATTAAACTGATTTCAGATAATAAAGTAAAAAATCTTGGTGTTATTTTTGATCAGGACCTGTCATTTAAATCCCAGATCAAAGAGGTTTCTAGAATTTCCTTCTTTCATCTGAGGAACATTGCAAAAATTAGAAATCTCCTGTCCAGGGGTGATGCTGAGAAACTAGTCCATGCATTTGTTACTTCAAGGCTGGACTATTGTAATTCTTTACTATCAGGAAGTCCACAAACTGTAGTTAAAAGCCTTCAGCTGATCCAAAATGCTGCAGCCAGAGTTCTGATGAAAATTAAAAAGAGAGATCATATCTCTCCTATCCTGGCTTCTCTTCATTGGCTTCCTGTTAAATCAAGAATAGAATTTAAAATCCTCCTTCTCACATATAAAGCCTTAAATGGCCAAGCTCCATCTTATATCAGAGATCTGATTGTTCCTTATGTTCCTAACAGAGCACTTCGCTCTCAATCTGCAGGTTTACTAGTGGTTCCTAGAATTTCTAAAAGTAGAATGGGAGGCAGATCTTTTAGTTATCAGGCTCCTCTCCTGTGGAACCAACTACCAGTTTTAGTCCGTGAGGCAGACACTCTGTCTACTTTTAAGACTAGGCTTAAAACTTTCCTTTTTGATAAAGCTTATAGTTAGGGTGGCTCAGGTTATCCTGAGCTCTCTCTCTATATTTATGCTGCTATAGGCTTAGACTTTTGGAGGACATAGGGACCCCCATTTCATCATTCTGCTTCATTCTCTCTCTGTTCTCCTATTCTGCAGAATCTGTTTGTTCAATCTCTAACCTTCTGCTCTCTCTGCTTTTCCTCAGAGTAGCTTTGCCTCGTCTGTTCCTGTTTGGCTGTGACGTCATCCAGGAAAGAAACATCAGCTGTGCTGCTTCCATCAACACCCTTGTTTGTAGATGTTGGAGATCGGCCTGTCTTCAGGTGTGGTCCTGTTTCTCTGGCCGTGGCTGGGTGGATGTGCTCTCTTCATCCTCTGGCATGGGAGCTGCCTTGGAGCTCGTCTGCCTGGCTGTGTGTTTCCTGGACGGGGCCGCCTTTTACAGCTGCTTGTATCTCTGCTTCTGTCTCCTTGAACCCCAGTCGGCCTTGGCAGATGGCCGCTCACACTGAGCCTGGTTCTGCTGGAGGTTTCTTCCTGTTAAAAGGGAGTTTTTCCTCTCCACTGTCGCTACAAGCATGCTTAGTGTGAGGGATTGTATTTGAGTCAATGAGTCAATGCAATCAACTGGTTTTCCTTAGATAGAAAACTTTGTATCAATTTGACTGTATGATCTGGTTGAACTGTAAAGTGCCTTGAGATGACATGTGTTGTGAATTTGGCGCTATATAAATAAACTGAATTGAATTGAATAGATCTTTATACCTCCGCTTAGTTGATTTTTCAACACCTGATTGATACAGTAATTGAAAATAGCCAACTTTTTAGTTTTTATCCCAGGCTTTAGTTTTAGAAAGGCCATTTCGCTATCCACTTTTGTTCCATGACAGATTACATTGGGACATAATCGACTCACACTGCCAACCTGAATCTCTATATAGTGGCCAATGTTGTTTTATAAAGTGGCTGTTATATGGAAAATGGTGTTTTTTTTCCTAAACTTTAGAAATTCTGTCAAATGTTTGTAGTGGTAAACAATTACATCTCTCAGTATGGATTTTTTTGGTTGTGTGTTTCTACCATCATTGAGTTAGCCAAGCTTTTAGGTGGAAGCCAGAAGTTTTTCAGGATTGTTTTTTTTAATCAAGATTTATAGAAAGTAAATTGGGTTACAGTTCATTTAACTCAGTTTTATAATTTTTAGTTTAAAAAAAATCCCTTAATTCAAAATGGTCATTTTTTTTTTTCTTTCAAGTTATTTCTTGCAATTCTGGAGGTTGTTATACATGTTTTGAGCTGTTCAAAGATATGGATTTCGACCTAAACAAAAAGAGAAATAAATCACCCATAATTCTTAAATATATTATTCACTCTTGAATTCCTAGTTAATTTGAATGCATTTCTATATATTTTTAACTCATTGACAAATTGCCAAGTAGTGCCTTGACCACAGCGTGGCACTTTCACATCAGACATTCTCATTTTCCACCCTTTGCTCCTTAATCAGTCTGTTGCAGTAACCATATGTTAGTCTTCTAGCCACCTAGTTTTAGCAGTGGTGTGGGGAGACACGTGAACGTGTTTCCGCTGAAGCCCTAGGAGTATGCAGTACTGGATAAACCACACTGCAAAAACAATATAAAAATAGTAAACATTTCTTCAATCAAGTGTATTTACCCTTAGTTTGAGCAGGTAAATAAGATGATTTGCCAATAGAATTTGCCATATCTTTACTTTTAAAATAAGAGAATTAAATATGTGCTTGAAATAAGAACACAATTGTTTTTTTCCATTGAAGATAAGTGAGAGTTATGTGTCTCACTTATCTCCTAAATTCAAGGAAAAAATGCTCTTATTTTTAGTGCAAAATTGTAAAGAATAGTAACACATTAAAATGTAACCATATCTCTTGAGCAATTGGAGCTAAGAGATAACAGTGCAAAAGGTATGAACAATGCAATTAGTGACCACTGCTGCTGCAGAAAAGTCTGGGTGGAAAGTCTGGGTGGAAATGTGGAGGGAGCCCAGGGATTGATGTGTCTTAAAAAGTAGTGATTTTCTTATTCTGAATTGATTCGCTTATTAATTCCAAAAGATCGATTCTTATGAACAAAGTATGATTTTTTAAATTGTATTTATGAGGATGGTTTGGTATTTACAGATGCCATTAATTAATTTCAATTTAGTTTATTTATATAGCGCCAACATGTCATCTCAAGGCACTTTACAGTTCACCAGATTAACTACCTGTACTTTTTTTATTTGCTGTTAAATGTTAATATAATACTAATAGTAATATATCACATAACTAGAGAGTAAGTGATTTCATTTTTTTCGTATCAGCAATCTAATTAAATAATAAGGTATAAAAGGTTTATGCTGGATGTGGCAAAATGATGTCATTTTGGGCTTTCATGCCTCTCTTCGCAGCATCCGTGCAGACAGAATGCACCTAGGAGAATCTGTAACTGAGCGGACAGGTCTATGCGGACAAAGATGACGAGTGAGCAACAACTCCTGCTGGTGAGGGTTTGCAAATTTAAACACACAGAAATCCTGTGATTTAGCCCATAGATATCACTACTATCAAAAGCTTGTGTATCCTTACTTGTGTATTCCTGAGGGGACATCTGAGCTCTCATGACATCACTGAAGTGTTTCACCCAGTCCTGTTGGTCACTCTCTGTCTCACAAGTAAACAGGAAGCAGCGGTCAGGTGTTTCGATTGTGATGCCATATTGCCAAGCGCCGTTGCAGTGGGTCCCAGCTGGCAAGCCAGCAGAGACACTGTAACCATTGTCCCTGTTCCCCAGGAAGACTTCCCCTTTAGCAAAGGCATCCTTCCAGGCAATATGAAAGAAAGGGGAAACATTCTTTATCATGCCATATAACCCAACCTACATTTTTGACACAAAATGAATCTACATTTACCTGCTTTATTTATAATTCTGCTCTATTTTTTATATCTGTACACGATTATTTCCACAATGAGGGAGAATACGCAATACATGACAGAAATATGCCTTCATTATGGTTAAAACTAAAATTTGAAAGATAATGCCAACTAAACAGTAGTTTGAACGTGTAATCATGTGGCAAACCAGTATGCAGGTTGTTCAGGTAAATGCAACATCTAAATGAGTTACATGTTATTTTCTTAATAAATTCAATATAGTTGCTTAAGTATCCTGTGTTTTTAAAATTCTTCCAATATAAAAGAAAAACTGATCAATAAAGGTCTCAGTGGTTTGCACAATGAACACGCTATATCATGAATTACTCTGGGTTTAAAGACCACCATGAGCACTGTTTAATCCATCCATCTATCCATCCATCTATCCATCAATTTCTGTTGCACTTTATCCCAGCTGGGGTCTTGATGGGTGCTGGTGCCTATAGGCGGGGCACATCCTGGACAGGTCACCAGTCCATCGCAGGGCAACACAGAGACAAACAGGACAAACAACCATTCACAAACACACTCACACCTAAGGAGAATTTATAGAAACCAATTAATCTAACAGTCATGTTTTTGGACTGTGGGAGGAAGCCAGGGTACCAACATGCAAACTCCATGCAGAAAGACCCCGGGCCGGGAATCAAACCTGGAACTTTCTTGCTGCAAGGCACCAGTGCTACCCACTGTACAGCCTCCTGTTGAATCCATTGTATAGAAATAAAAAGACAATTAAATGAAACCAAAACCTACCAAGATCTAAATGTCAAACTTAATTTCTTCATATCGAACATTTGCCCTTTTCCCGTCAAACTAAATCTATATACATGGCAATGTGAGCAGTTACCCTCTTGCAGCTTTAAATGAAGGGAGAGGTGGTTTCTCAAGAAACTGGCTAAGCATAGATGGATACTATTAAAAAATCAATTAAATTAAAAAACAGAATTTTCTCCGTTTCATTTTACGGTTATGCTCTACTTTTTGCCGTTCTGTCTCTGATTGGATATGATTGACGGTATAAGCAAGTATAAATGGGTCAATATATTTATATGCCTAAAGGAGATATATAACTAATCTATTTCAAATCACTATAGGGTGTAAAAAAATGCAATTCAACTGTTATTTTTTTATTAAGGTGAAGTCCAATCATCTCAACAGGTACATTTTTTACATCCTAGCTGTGCTTTCCAACTTTTTTTTATACAAAAATTATATCAACCACTGAAAATGGCTTCATCAATAAATGTAAGTTTCTAAATCAAGTATATGCTTGAGGAATTTATGAAAAGAAAAATGCTACCTTATATGTAATCTCTTGGTAAGCCTTTAGTCAAAGAGTAGAGTATAATTCTGTTAACTAAGTAGTTAGATCACATCTCCATAAACAGCTACCTAAAAGTATTGCAGTAACACAAAATTTACCAAGACTTCCTCTACCTACCTTAAATTTTCTTGTCCAACACTCAGGGGTTAAGATGAACTTCCCAGTCTCAACGCATCTATTATTATTATTGCACTGCTGTACTAATCTGTTATATCATTAACAATGCCTCCTTGGAAAATCTGACGTTAGCCTCAACTTCAGCATGTTACTTTACTTTGAGCCCTTTTTTAAACATATGTAGCTCTAATCCAGCTGACATGTACATAAAAATTATTTAAAATGTGACAAAAGGCCAAAATGTAAACCATTGAATTTCACTTCTTAGAAAATCTTTAAATGTTTAAAGCTGGCAATGTATGTAGCACATGTAACACTCTTAACAAGACATGATTTTAAAGAGACATTTTGTAAGTTTTTACTAAAAATATCCTAAAAACAGCTTTTTTATTTGGCCATTTTATGACTAAAACATTGTTTGATGAGCAAAATGACGGCAGTTAATCACCGATGCATCTATCTTTCCTGAATTTACAAGAACAAGCATGTGTGCTGCTGTTCTGTGTTTTGGCCACAGGTGGCGGTACAATTAGAAAATTCGGTAATGCCTCTTTTTTTTTTTTTTTTTTTTTTTTAGCGCTAATGCCTCTTTACACGATCATATTAATCAAAAGTTTTATTTTCTCTTAAAGTTTAGTTATGTGACTTTTTTCCACTAAAAATGTTCAACAATAGTCTTCTCTTTGGCGACAGTGAAAACACTTCACTTGGCCATATTTTACTGGTAAATCTTTTTAATGGAAACTTTGGCAAACACTGTATAAGTGAGTTTCTTGAAAAATGTGCTTGCAATTAAAATAAAACCCTTCTGTTAGAACTTAAAAGTATACAAAAAAAATCCCACAATGAAGCTCCACCTTTAGTTTAAGCACCATTTTCCTTTAGGGACATTTTTTTAACAGTAGATTTCTATCCTTTGTTGGTTGATTTAGCCCAGTGCCTACAACCAAATGCATGGAGAGAAAAACTACCACAGTTAACCATGAGTGCCGACAACAGGTTAAAGTGGTGGAAAAACCACCTTCCTATCCTGTTTTACCGGCTTTGGTCTACCACATACCAGTGTGACGTCACCACTGATCAGTAAAGATATATAATGACTATATATATAGTCGGAATATAGTGACTACTGAAGGCAGACAGGCTTAAAATATTATTTAAAATATTATTTAATTTGTTGTTTTTATTATTATTCAATAGTTCCTAAAGATATTTTCTGTAAGTAGTTCCTGCAAAGTTAAAGCTTTAGAACCTACAACATAAAGAAAGAGCAGAAATCAGCCATGACATTTTGATTGGTGATTCTCATCATTCACTTTTCATGCTTGTATATCAACCTGTGTGAGCACAAAGATTGGCATACCAATGGATCTTTGAAGTACATCAGCCGTCTCTGATCCAGTGTGAACCAACGTTTCTTGAAGCCTTCTGTTTGCTATGTAGACGAACAGGGAAACAAATCCACAAATAGAATAAGTGACACAGAAAAAAACTCCACCTAGTGCTTGCATCCGTAGTGCTGCTTGTTTCTTTTAAACTAAAGTGCACTCTGCTCTGATTTGTTTGAAGAATGTGCAATAAGAATAAAATAATAATGTTTCAGAAATCTTTGTGTACACATTTTGTGTATACAGAGAGATTCAGGAAAAGCTTAACATTTGAGTTCTGTTAGAGCAAAATTCTTTATACCAAATATTAAAAATACTAATTCCTGCCTAACTTCCAAAAAACAATAAGTTACCTTCACATTCTGCTGGTAGGTAAATACAAACAAATCTCTAATTTGTAAATACAAATCTAACTAAATCAACTCAGAGCAGCAGGTTTGTGAATTCATGTTTGCATTACAGAGGTTACATTAGCAGTTTGTCTCTCAGAGATGGTAAAACAGGTTGGGCCACATAGCATTAGGTGCTTCAAATGTTTCCTTTCAAGATGCCTGAGTCTGTACTCTCTGTGTGACGCTAGTTCTAGATATATAACATTACAGCACTGGTGCATTTGTGCATCATTACACAAGTCTTTACAAGTGCTTCTTTGTGCATCTCCACTGCGTTTGTCTGCCTTCTATGTTTTTAGATGAGATATCAAATGAAGTCGACAAGAAGTTCTCAGAAGGAAGCCTTTCATTTCCTTAGATTGAGTGACAGATGCAGAGACAGCGGACAGTTTGGCAGTGGATAATCTCAGCTGCATGCCAGTCTGTCAGACAGAGGTTAAAAATCAGTAATACTTACAGCTAAGCTAGCTATCCATTTAGCTCTGTTTGTTTCAAATAAAGACAGAAAAGCAAAAGCTGGAGTAAAAGGAAGCAACTGAAGTGTGTTTATCCAGTTAGATACTTATCAAGAAGGCAGAAGGTGGACTGACATGACTGCTTTTTTGTACTTTCTTTGACCAATTGGACAAAATTTAATTGAAATGTCCAGTTTATTTAAAGTAATTCAGAGGATCAAATAACTTAATAGACTTAATAGTTAATTTAGAGAATATATAAGAATTCAGAGAATTGTCTTTAAAAAAGAATGAAGGACAAATTTAGATACAAACTTTTTTCCTCTTTATCTAGTTCTTTTGGTTTTAAATTGTAAACAGGCTAAAGTTGAAATTTAAAAAAAGTAATGGGTTGAGTATTTACAGTAAAACAAAGTGGGAGCTGTGCAGGTACATACAGGAAATAATTGGCATTCTTACCCTTGGACCTGTTTTTTCCATATATCCTTCCTTGAGAAAGTTTCGAGTAAGTTTTGGTATGAGCTGAAAAAGTATCATGAAGGTACAGTTTTTCAGTAGCATAAACAAATGGTTGTCCAAAAAGCTATATTTTCAGTATTATAAAAGAAAACATTTTGAAAAGGGACAAAGAGATAAATCCATTAGCTTCTTTCAGATGGGTTAAAGTGTTGGTGTTTGTCTACCTCAGCATCAGTTGCACCCGGAAAGGCCACTTTTAGGTAGTGAAGCTGAACTGCTCGAATTGAATTAAACCAGTCAACAATTTCCTAAAAAAAAACAGAGAAGCCAAAACGGAAACAGTCAGTCACAAATCTTTATTAACAGACAATTTATCTAATTTGCTGTGGCTGGTACTTGACTTTTGGTTAACGACAAATATAACATCTCAAGCAATTTTTTTTTATAGAATTGCTTTTTCTCCTATGCTTTCCTAGATAGGCTTGAGTTTAAGCAACTGTTAGTTGCCCTGGAAAGAGATTCACCCACCAGACCTGTACATCTCTACAACACATATTAGCAAATTTAGAACCCCCTGTATATGCACACAAACATGCCAATGCTGATTAATGTAATCATGTAATTGAAAAATAATATTAATAATATTAATTAATTCAGGCTTCAATGGCTTGAAATTTGAAACTATACTTCAATATAAAGTGTCCAAAAATTACTCCCTCAAAAATAAAAAAGGATAGAGGAAAACCTAGTGTGGTATCTCTACAATACCACAGTATATCATTGTATATAGTATATTATTGCTACCCAGTTCCCCTATGTTACTCCCTGAAGTGAAAAGCCAGCTAAGGGACTCTGCAGAGCTCCAGTAATATGACTCTAATGTGAATTTTGCAGAAAATGCCCCACTCCCACATGACACACAGCAACAAATAAATCTCATACAAACACGGAGCTGCACGATATACTTCACTGTGTTTATGGATGGTGGAGAAACATAGATGTGATGCTTGGATATCATATGATAATGGGTTCCAGTGGGAAGCAAAAGCTGATGCAAATAACTTGGTAAAGGTTCAGAGCCTCTCCAACAACAACATAAACGAGAAACTTTCAAAACCTTTATGTCTTAATAAAAAAGAATGATATTTTAAATTACACTTTACATTGTTTAAGCGTGGCTCATGTTTACAGTCAATACTAAAAAGACCCACAAAGACAAAGTATGTATTACTCTCACCTTGCCACTCTCATGATAGAGGAAGATATTCCGGGTACTGTAGTCTTTGAGGTAAGTGATCTGCAGTCCGTTGGGATTTCCTATTTTCTCTGGTTGGAACGTTGCATTAATAGAGTCCACCTTAATCACTGCTTTGGGCTCCTTAGCCTAAAAAAATGAGGAGAAAATTAAATAAAACTTAAATGTAAGTTCATAGTTAGGTGAATGTTGGTTTAATTCATTTAATTTTGATGTATAATACATTCAGTTTGAAATGGTAAATGTCTTTATATAACTTTATAATATATTTTGAAACTAGTTGAGGCAAGTTTCTTTTAAAGTAGACAGTGAAAGGAGAGGTTACATCAAAGTGTACTTAGCTGGTTGCAAATGGAAGCTTGATGTAAGTACAATGTGCACACCGTATGATTATTTAAATCCCTGTTTACTATCATGGTTTTCAAGCTGTTACCACTGCTGTCTGTTGAGTTACCTTTAGTGGGACTCTTAGGAATTTTGGCCTCAGTTATAGTCAATATAAATAGGAATGATTCAGTTGTGACAATAAGAAAAAAAAAAGTTTTAAAAGATTTGTACACCAGGTAAGCTGTTATAACTTCTGCTTAAAACATTCGAGACAGACCAAACCAGCCAATCACTTTGCATGTTTAGGCGTCCATTTAGCAGTGACGAAAACAAGAGCTAACAAGCTCAGAGCCGAATTAATATAAACATGACAGCAGCTGCTACTATCAAATTTTTTTTATTTTTTTGTTAAAATCTATGATATATTTGAAAGAGGAACAGCAAGGGTTTTACAGATGCATTAGGAGCAGTCCCAGATTAAAAATGTGTAGAACTCAACCCAACACATCAATTTTGGTTGACATGTAACTAATGGTTATTCTGGGTCCCATTTACCTCTAGGCTCAGAAACTGGGTATAAAAATGACTTGGAACTCAAGCTAAATGTATTTCATTTATTTGAAAACCACTGGTATATGCTAAATGACCATATTGCTACTATTATCAGAGAATATTCTCAGTCATTCAGGTCAGGGTCAAGCTTGAAAACTTTAGTCGAGGCAACTGGACATGAAGTTTTTCTATAAGACGTTTCACCTCTGATCAAAGAGTCTTCCTCAGTTCTAACTTTTGGTGGGGAGCACTGAGATTAATATACTGTAGATATATACTAGATTGGCCGTGGAAGTCACCTGGGGGGTGTTAATGGCCGTTAGGGGTTTTCTGATGGGTCGTTCATAAGAGTAGTTTTGGTCACATGCCTCATGGAAGTGTGGGTCAGGTGAGAGGTGAATCTTCCAGGTATTGTTCCATCAGAACCCCCTAACAACCATTAAAACCCCCACCCCACCCCCCAAGTGAGCTCCATGGCCAATCCAATGGGAATGATGAGAGCCACCTTTTGTTTTCCCCTGATTCCTTATTACGCCTACAGTATAGTAATCTCAGTCCTCTCCACCACTAGTTAGAACAGAAGAAGCCTCTTGGATAAGACGAGAAACTTCTTCTAGAAAACTTCATGTCTAGTTGCCTAAACTGAAGTTTTCAAGCCTTACGTATACTTCTATCAAAATAAGTTAAAGAAGTATTTATGCTACTTTTATACTCTGAAGCTGTGTTAGAACAGGTACAATACAGGATTTACAACATCACTAAGTTTGACAGATTATTGAGAAGTAAATCATCAGGAGTAAAAAAGAGAACTTTTTTTTTTAACAGCAGCTTCATGTAAGGAGACATCTTGCATTTTTAAGGCAGGGTTGGTTAAAACCTCTGAATTTTACACATCATTGTACATTTTCTTTATTTTTATTCTAACTGAGTAAGAAATAATAGATAATTGAATTGTATCTTTTAAACATTCATTCAGTTTTAAAGAATTTTATCTAAAAAAAAAAAAATATATATATATATATATATATATATATATATATATATATATATATATATATATATATATATATATATATATATATATATATATATATATATATATATATATATATATAGTCATATTTGGACAGATTTTCAGATTTTTGTAAGCATGGTCTTACTTGGAAAAACTTAGTTTGAACTTGTTGAGTTACTTGTTGTAACAGGTTAAAGAACCATTGATTTTGGATAACAGGGCCAAGTTCTTCTACATTCTGTTCTAATATAATCTCATAGTGATATCAGTTTTTAACATAAATATTGTAAAGGGACTGCAATAAATATTGGCTAATGCATTTTAAGTGTTATGATCTTGCATTTCACATTTGTAATGTGATATTTAGCCAATTAGACAGTCTTGTAACACCGGATGTTCATATTAGACACAAATTAAAGTGTTCAAAACTCTTGAGGTCATACAGAAACATCGAAAGCAATTATCAACAGCCTTCATCACTTATAGTCATCATTTGGAAACAAAATATAAACAGTTTTAGTCTTCAGATGTGCTTTAATCCCTAAGTTGAAGTTTTGTGCAAAATGAAAATGGTAATGCAGTTCTATTTGCTCTGAATAAAGTACAATAAAAAAAAATAAAATAAAAAAAAAAGAGTGCTCCATTTAAAAGACACTCAAAAACTGCTAACTTTTCACATAGCTCTGCCAAATTTAATATTTATATGTTGTACTACAGAATAAGCTATGCTAAGGTAAAGCTTATACTAACAGAAAACAAAGATGGAAACCTTTTAATTAAAAGCATTTTACTGGACTCTTTCTGTGTTCCATGTACACTAGCAGTCAGCATTCCCAAATTTGAAAAACTTAAATTGAACCCCCTTAAAGTCCAAATCATAACTTGTAAAATTGTTAAAAAGTGGGTGGACTGCCAACTGAGTGCAGTGAGACACACTTACTTTTTATTTACTAGATTATACAGTTTATTCTCACTTCTGACTCATTAAACTAGAGGCACAAATAAAAAAGTACCAGTCTGTAGTTTTAAGCATAATCTGTTAGTGTTTAATAGAAATTGGACTTGCTTTGGTAACCAGAGGATAACTTGGTCTCTAAACAAAAATTTAAGAATTTCATATGAGTTAATGAATTGCCACTGGAACATATTACAGATATGAACCCCAACCTCTGGACTGAATCAAAGAGAAGCATCCATTAACCTGTCACTATATCAAAATATTCAACATATTAAATTCACCTGGAGGAAATTAGGTTAAATAGTTGTTTTTTTAATGAAACCATGCCTAAAGGAAACCCTAATTAGCATAACTAAACATATAATTATATATGTTATATAAAAATAAACAAAGATCCTGTTGCCATGGAAGCGGTTCTTTTCTATCTTATACAAGAAGCTTTTCCCAGCTTCTGAGAATATTCTTTGTAAATGATGCATAATTCAGTAAAGCAAAAAACAGACTCCTCAGTAAGCTTATCTGAACATCCACAAAAAGAAAATGAAGTAGAAAAATACTAATCTCAATGTATCATGAAAATAATCTATACTTTTAAATCAGCTGTTTAACCATTAATATTGGGATTTTTTTTTATATCCATAGATGCTACATTGGACAGATTTTTCTACAATATTATATATGTTCTTCCTGGAAATAGCTATAAGCTGAGCTACTGCTGCCAATAAGGCCATGCTCACCCTCTATAAAAGATAAATTTGGTCTTGTCATTCTGCAACAAGTCATACAAACATTTGCTATTACAAATGGTGTCTGCCAGAGTAGCATTTTCCTTATTGATTTTATTAAATATTTCTAGCTATGATTGGAAGTATTTGTCTGGTAAAGAAAGGGATGATAATTGCTGTCAAATGGCACAATATGGTTCAACTGAAACAATGGAATTCAGTGACAGCTTAAAAGTGAGTATGTCAGAAAAAAGCCTTAATGACAAAAAAATAATTAGTGTTATATTTCTTATCTATAAACGTCAACTGTATTTAGGTTATTTCTATTGTGGTTCCACATGTATGCAGACTAAAGTAGAACATGTGCTAAAAGTTTGTGTTTTTTCCAGCATGTATTTTAAATAATATTCATTAACAGCAGCTTACATCATATTTGGTGTAGTACTTCAGAGTGCCCTCTCTCTCCGAAAGGACAAATCGCCTGCTAAGAAACTGCCCATTGTCCCGCCCCCTTTTCATCAACACACCATCTTTCATTCCTGCAGGTTGCAAGCAAAGGTTAGTCAAGACCAACGACTTTTTATGACACATGATGGTAATTGTGTTTCAATCTGCATACGTTCACCTGAATCATACGTTATGTTTCCCCCAGGTTCGGTAAACTCTTTCCGCTGATACTTTGCTCTTATCCACTGCTCCCTTAGTACCCTGAACAAACACAAAAAAATTAAGATAAATGCTTAAAGAAGACCATATATATTAAGAAACAAGTTAATGTTATAAATTTGCTGATCAGTCATTGGTTTAATCAGTGGTAGTTTTTTTTCTCTTACTAAATAACTTCTTCCAGATACAAAATCAAAACGGTTTGAACTGCTGAGCTTAACCGTTGATATCAATGTTACCTGAAACCAACTAAATGACATAACTTTTACCTTGACACACCTTCAACTGAACAAACCTTAATGCAATATTTATTTTTCTTAGATCCAATATGAACTGTAGCTCAAAAAACTGGAAAGCAGATTATATTTAATTGTTTTTTCTTACAAACTCAGATTTTGAATAGACCATTACAATTTAGTTAACTGCAAAAATAAACATCCATCCATCCATCCATTTTCTTCCGCTTATTCAGGGCCGGGTCGCGGAGGCAGCAGTCTAAGCAAAGATGCCCAGACTTCCCGATCCAGATACTTCCTCCAGCTGCTTTGGGGGGACCCAGAGGCGACACCAGGCCAGCTCAGAGACATAGTCCCTCCAGCGTGTCCTGGGCCTTCCATGAGGCCTCCTCCTAATTGGACATGCCTGGAACACCTCCCGAGGGACGCCACCAGGAGACATGCAAAACAGATGCCGAGCCACCTCAGCTGGCTCCTTTAAACATGGAGGAAAAATGACTCGACTCCGAGCCCATCCCGGGTACTGAGTTACTCAACCGATCTCGAAGTTTACATCCAGCCATTCTGCAGAGGGACACTCATTTCGGCCGCTTGTATTTGTGATCTTGTCCTTTCGGTCATTACCCAGATCTCATGACCACCGGTGAGGGTGGGAACGTAGATGGATGGGTAAATCCAGAGCTTTGCTCCCGACTCAGTTCCCTCTTCACCATAACAGTCCTATACAGTGCACCGCATCACTGCCGACGCTAAATCGATCCGTCTGTCAATCTCACTTGTGAACAAGACCCCGAGATACTTGAACTCCTCCACTTGAGAAAAGGACTCTCCACCCACCGGAAGAGGGGAGTCTACCTTTCTCCGTTGGGAACCATTTCCGAGGCCAGAAATAAACAACTCAGACTAAATAATTGAATGGTTTTCATAGTCTTCAATCTTTTTTACATGTTATAACCACATCTTATATGCATTTAAGTGTATGCCAGGCAAGTCTTTTAAAGTTTACCTCCGCCACCTTTGCATATCTAAACCCTGAAATGTTGCTTGAACACTGCAAAATAGAATGACCTAAACTCATTTTGGAACAATATTGTCAAATATATGCTGCAACCTAAAGGAGACACTGTTCTTTGCTCCCCACCCCAGAAGCATTGCTAAGCTAAAGACAGCAGCTGAAATATAATTCAGTCCATTGGACGTAGAAAAAAAACATCTCCAAAAGTAGGTCTCAAGGTAGGAAACAAATCTTGGTCTATTTAAAAAGAACCAAATGAGGAAGGGGTCAAGAAATCCTTAATATTCTCTTTTAGCCAGACCTGTCAGTTTGAAGACCAACCATATAATAGGTTTAAATTTGTAGACAAATTAAATAGTGCTTTAAACAATATGACATGTTAAAAGGTTGGAATATTGTTTTCTACCCTTAATCTGATCCTACTGTAGCTTCCTTATGGCTTTATGCCTAATTTTTCAGGTTTGCCTCCTTGGCCTCATTTACTGTAGTTGCTTACTTTTTTCAGCCAAAAATATCTAAGGACTTCACAGATTGATATAAAGTATAAGTATAATATATATAAGTACAGAATCTCTCTTCACTAAAATAATGTGTCAATGGGATCTGGGTACCCTACATTTTATTCAGGGGCGTCATATTGTAAGACAGATCAAACCGAGAGGAAAGAGACATGTTTTAGATGAATACTTTTATTTAGCAGGGCCAAGTCACGTACCTTGCCTAAGAAAACTGACAGTTTCTCATGCATTAGTAAACTTGGCATCTTCTGCGTCTTTAGCTCCCACTTCAGTGAACCAATATTCATATTCTATTTGAAGTGCTTCTCATCTCTTATCCCTCTTAACATTAAATAATGTTTAGGAAATTATTGTTTCTGGTATGGGGGTTGGCTGGGAGGTATGCAGTGGAAATGAGGAACATGGCTTTGCATTGTTGTGTTTTTGGCTGGTGGCCATCGCTGTGCAGCAGGGGGTGTACCATCAGCATGCCCAGATGCATCTCTTGTAAGGACTGGCCTTTATCTATGGTGGTTCCTTCTTTGCAGGGCTTGGTGCTTTGTTGGGTGCTGTCTCGTTCCAGGTGGCTGTTGGGCCTGGGTCCCCTGGGGTCCCACCCATCCCCGGGCTCAGATTTCTGGGTGCTCAACTGGGGCTGCCGGCAGAGTCTGTGGGGCTTCAGTACTATAGCCTCTGGGTTCTGGCCCCAGGGCTCTTGTTCCTTTGTCTGCCCTTCCTGTGTCTCTTCACTCTGGGGTGCATTTGGATATCTGTGGCTCTGTTCTCCTTTCTGTCAGTCTGCGGCTCTTCAGGGTAGGTCTGGGTCCCCCAACATCTTCCTGCCAAAGGAGCATTATAAACATTGTATGCACCACAGATGTTTGGATACCGCTGTTCATGATTCAGCAGTTAGGCTTGCTTAACTCCAGCTTCAACTACATGTAGCTCTGAATGACATTGTGCGATCTTCACAGGTATAACTTTTATGTTTGTATAGAAGTATTTATTGTGTGTCCACGGGATACTCTTTTGTCATGGCTTATGTGTTGTTTTCTTTCTTTTCTAGGAGACTTTTAGGAGTTATTCTGAATTGTATGATTTATTTTTTTCTTTTTATGCTCTCACTTTGCCTCGACCCCTCACTCCTTTTTCTCTCTCTATCCCCATAATTCTTAGTTCCTCTCCCTTTTCTCTCCTCGAGTTCCAACTCCTTGGCTTCCATTTCCTCCATGTTTACTCATTGCTTGCATGTGCAATATAGTACCTCTGATAATATAGTCTTGTTACAGTAAATACACAAAATGGTTTAGTAACAAATTGATAAAAAAAACTAAGTGTAAAATACAGAAATAAAACATAGGAAGCAAAAACCCATCCTAACCCAACCCATCCATCCATCCATCTTCTCGATCAGTGTAGCGCTGGGGTAGGTGCCTACTTCCAGCAGTCTATGGGTGAAAGGCAGGATACACCCTGGACAAACTACCAGTCCATTGTAGGACCACACAAAGGCACACATAGACATACAACCATGCACACCCACAGTCATAACTAAGGGCAATTTAGAGACTCTAGTTAACCTAATTGTCATGTGTTTGGACTATGGAATGAGGCCAGAGTTTCCTAAGAGAGCCCACACATGCAAACTCCTTACGGAATAATGAGCAAGTAGTAGAACCCAGGACCTTCTTGTTGCAAGGCAACAATGCTGCAAACTCAGAAGGCCTTTGTAAGCAACCAGAGGGATCTAATCGCAATAGAATTTGGAAATCCATAGTGCATGACTAGAGCTCTTTAAATATATATTTTCTTTCCAACTCAACTCATTATGTGATACTTATCCCCATCACATAAATGCCCAACAAAAAATTATGCAACAAAATGTGGAAAAACACAGGACATTTTTGCAAGACACTGTAGAAGGACAATCCATGTGACAAGCAAATATCAAATATACACCAAGACTACATACTTTTTCTATAAATGAAAACACGGCTAAAATACAGAGAGTAAGATGTAATGTATTGTGTGAGAAACTGTCAATACTCACTGGCAGTCCTTGTGAGTTGGTTTGTAGTAGTAGACCGGTACAGCCCCCTCATATTTTTTTTTCATTTCCGCATTTCCGTTCTCGGCCATGAACTATCAAAAGCACAAAACATAAAAAAACATTATTAAGTATGAATGATACCTCAGTACATGGCGGAAGAGTATAATAACTAGAGGACATTCTCATGGAAAAATAAATTAAGACTTTTTGACAAATGTTAACTTCTCCCTAAGAGAACATTTGTCAGAATCAAACAAAGCATGTTTTTAAGCATGTTTTAGAATTTCTGGGAATATTCTAGAGATAATCTTTCCTTAAAAGGTGATAATATAATGTAGAAGTTCAAGATAATCAACAAGAGAGAGGAAACGTTTAAATAGATATCAAAATCCATAACGATTTTATTTTTGAAACCTCAAACCAGTGATCTAGAATCTAAAACTAATTTTGGTTTTAACTATAATATAATAAGAAAAACAGAGAAAACCTAGACCATGGCATAAACAATATTTAGCCTGCTAAATTTTTTTATTCATTACTTACAATCAAACAGATAAAACGATTCAAAACTGCCTTTGTCTTCTCACCTGAACCTCGTGATCCTCCCAATGGGACAATCTCAAGGATTTGACTTTGCTGATTTCAGGGATGTTGCGGTGGATCCCAGAACACTCCAGACAGATGAAAACTCCCAGGGAGCATGAGCCCCAACCAGGATCTGCAGCACAGGGGAAAATATTATTAAAACGGAAATGGGATTTCCAGGGCCAGAGCAAAGGCCCTGTGGTAGAAATACAAGATAATTAACATAATAGGTAAAATCTTGAATGCAGAGTGTGAGTTATAACCATGATGGTACATAAACAGATTTTGTTGCTGAGAATAAAATATGTTAAATGTTTTAAATATGTTTTAATTTATAAATAATAAAAAAAAATAATGGAGGAAGAATAATTCTTCAGGCTTGATAGGCCAAATGAAATGCACTGTATTAGGTGTTATCAGCTAGAAGAATCACATGACTTCAAAAAAATGTTTTACCAGGTTAAGGCAAGTCTGTTATCACTTCAGCAGCATTTTGGAGTTATTTATCTAGCTAGACATCAAATTAAAGTTGCTCGGTAAGAATAACATTTTTAGACTGATAAAGCTTTTAATCCATAGACCTTACTGTAATGGTAAGCCCCACTTGGAACAGTACCTCAGAAAGACATGTCTCCTATTTTAATCAGTCTTCCCTAGAACATTTTGAGCCAAAAGATTTGAGAAATACCTTCATTGCCTAGACTAGAGCAATCTGTTTTTTCCAACAGCATCTCAACAGAGTGGTGTCTTTTAAAATTAGTTTGACCTTGAAAAAACAAAACTGAGGTCTGAGCAGGACATTTTTTAACAACCCATATAGTCACTGGAAGATTACAGTGTGAATTTGGCTTTCTGGTCAAGAGTCGTTCCTGATTACATCCTTATTCAAAGCTTCAGTATATGAGCTGCACAAAAAATGTGCTTATACTTCCAAGTCACATACAGAGGGTAATTTTTTTGTCTTAAAAAGAGAAACAAGAAAAAATTAGACTAGAGGCTAAACTTAACCAGAAAGTATGATTCTGGGTAGAAATGGTAAGTAGAAAAATTTTATTTTAAACCATAATGAGATAGCCAACGCCTTTAATGCTCCTCAGTAATGCACTGACAAATACACTCCCAGGTGCATCGACAGTCTGGCTATGATATAAGTCCCTAGGGCACAGATTTACTCAGTTTCTGGTTCCAAGATCCTTACGAATTAGCATGTTTACTGTAGGAACCTATTATAGTTAGTGTACGATTAAAGACAGAAACTAAGCTATAATAAAATCCCTTTTTAGCAATACAAAAATGAATACACATTTACATCACTATCATTGCAGTGTAGGTAAATCTAACGAAATATAACAAAGCAGTAAATAATTTTGTTTTCCATTTCAAAAAAGTTTAAATAAATCTAATGAAGCCTCCAATCCAGGAAATCAGAAAACAAGAATATTACAGAAACAGCAAGATATTTATACAAACAGAGACTCCAGAAATTAGTTATTCAGGTAACAATAACGTCCTCTACTGAAGGTATGACACAAAAAGAAAGCAGTCCCATCATCCATTTATGTATCTGAATCCGTTTATGAAAAAGTTGAGCACTGTAGTATAAAAAAAAAAGGTTCAGAATTAAAAGGATACCAGCTGAATAGGAACTTTGTCTTATTTCATGATTGTTTTGGATAATTATATGTTTTGCTATTCAAACATTACTGAATATTTCGTGGGGAAAATTAGAAAAACACATTCTGCTTTTTTTGGGCATTGCTGAAAAAAGGGTTTGCACTGTGCAAGTCCTACACTGCCCAACATAAAAACATGTGAGGGCTTGCTCTACTTTCACAAGGCCCCTACAGCTTCACCTGCATGTGAGGCCCCTCCTCCTCCTGAATGTCTAACCTTCATAAACTTTTTTTTTTTTTCAACTAAAAACAACATAAACGATTATTAGATAACATCCGACATATGTTATCGTTAACTGGAGATAGATATCGATATAATAGCCTGCATAGTTATAAGATGTGCATTCCTTCCACCTACCCAGAGCGCCACAGTCGGCGCAGGTGTCATTTCCAGGCTTTAGGAGAATCTCTTTTAGTGCTCGGATTGTTCTTTCATTTGTCGACATTTCAGCTTATAGATCCGCTTGCAGAGAAAGGGAGAGAGAGAGTGGGGATATGGAGCGAGAGAGCCAAAAGAAAAAAAGAGGCACAGAGAGAGAGAGAGGTGAGGCAAAGGTATGTCTAGTCGCGTTTCACCCTCCCTCCTTAAGGTGCGAACAAGTCCGCACAGGTAGGCCTATGTGTGGCCACAGCACAGACAATCCCTCCAGCTGAAGAAAAAGCTAATTACAGCTTCTTTGACCAGTCACACGGTGATAAAAAAAAAAAAAAAAAAAAAAAAACATGCTCTAAACTTGTCAATTCGTAGACCTTTGCAGTAATCCGTAGTCCTTAATGAGAGAATAGCCCAAACTGCACACTGACTGCATGTGCTGAGAGAGGGAGGGGTGGGCGCCACAGTAGGAAGTGAAGTGCAGAGGTTGTTCCATCAAGCTGTTCCGCATAATATTAGGTTAGATCACATATCGCTCTAGCAGCTGTGCACAGATTCGCAATGTAATGCTTTTTTATATAGCCTTGACTTTGCATCTTGATGCAATAAAATTTTTTTTATGGGAAATAGGTTAAGGACCATAAATAATTGCTGCACGTGTAAATAATAGCCTACACTCTCTTTAGATTAGTGGAACCACTTTGCTAAATGTGAGAAAATAACAGAATGTGATTAAAATATGCCAAACAATCACCAGCAAGAATAAGCCCCACTTTACCATCCATGTTATTCTTCAGTTCCACATGAAGAAATGTGAGATTTTAATTGAAATGATATGTTTCGCAGATGACAAGAAAGGTTGAAAACAAGTGTAACTTTATTTTAACAGAAATTATGCAAAAAAAAAAAAAAAAATATATATATATATATATATATATATATATTACTTTTCAGCAAGGACAACTATAACAACACCATACATGTTTGTTGGAGATCTCACATGTAAATGTCCAACTCCTTGAGTAGCAGTGGCATGCACAGACTTTTTGAAGGACAAATTTCAAAAAAGGCACATAGTTGGTCCTCACCACTGTAGGGGGCACTTTAGCACAGGTATTGGTCCAGAGAGTGCACTTTAGCATGCGTTTTTCAACAATTGGGCTACAATTGCCACGCCCTGCTGCACACGTCACTAGGGTTGGAGATTAGAGATTTTCACGAATTCAATTCCCTCATTGATTCTGTGAAACGATTCAAGTCCTTATCGATTCTGTGAAACAATGAACTTGGTGAGTGCACAGTGACATTCATCTTCACCTGGAAGATTCTATTTCTGCCTGCCTCTGCGAAAACAGAAGGCAGTGAAAGGGAGCTGCCAGCCTCTGATCCAGCCAGGACACCACTCTCGTCACAGTCATCAAAATCTAATGGAGAAGGCATCCGTTTAATTAAAAAGCATTACTGTGCAATTTCTGTAAAAAAAAAACTCATCTCCCCCTGATTTAAATAAACAAGCATCACCTTTGTCTCGCTCCCTAAAATGCGGAGCAACTTCGTAGCATGTTTAATAACCCCAAAAAGAGGTTGGAAACTGGCTTATTTCCAAGAAATGGCATATTATTTACTAGGAACCACATTAGGCACAGCCAGTGATATAAAACTAGCTATTTACTACCAGAGTTGCCTTCCATGCCGGTCGTAAATTTAGCTTCTGTCCAGAAGCATCAAAAACACGGCATTCGTTAAAATGTATGCCATGTTGTGTGCACAGGTGTTTCTGCATGTTGGATGCACTTCCTCCCGCGGATGTAATTGCCACTTTGCAATGATTGCAAAGCGCCTTGTTACCATCTTTCTGTTCCTTAAAATGAAGCCAGTCTTTCAATCGCTTTGACCGCTTTATGGCTCTCCATAACGTCGTACTTGCTTACTGAATGCCGTGTACGTAACTTGCGTAAAAAACTTGACGTAAGTCGTGCTGCGGAACCAGTTCTGAGCAGGAACCGGTTTTCCTGATCTCATCAAGCTAACTTAAATTATGCCCCTATTAAAGTACTAAAATATGCCCTGTCCTATCAAATTAACTAATTTTGTTGCACAACTATAGTTGATACAGCTAAATATTTATAAATGAATTGTCTTAAGGGTCAAAAGTTTACATTTTAGTTGGGAAAATAAACAACTTCTTGTTTTGCTTCAATCCAGTAAAAAATTGTGAACTTGCACATGTGCGCCATTGATTGTTTTTGGTTGTATGGGGTATTCTGATGGATTAACTTTTTCCCAAGACCCACACCTTCACTACGAGGCATCCACCACACCCTTTACATTAAAACCAAGAAATAATGTTTTGGCATAGTTATATGAAGAATGTAAGTCACCCTGATAGTTTTATGGTTTAACACAATATTAAAATGCCTCCTAAGCTCTGAGAGGGACTCGTATGATTAGGTCGCTACCTCCTAACTATCTGATGTTAGAGACAGACATTTGTTTTACTCTCATTACTAAAAGATGTTCAGGGCTGTTTTTGCAAATATACAGACAATTCAATAAAGTTATTATTTTTTTTTACCAATATGGTTTTCTTTAAACCATTGCATATAAGGTAAATGACAGTTTTTGTATTAGTAGATGCTTTCCCTGATTCAGCACACCTGATTTCAGCTGATGATGGATTAACAGGCATCTCTTGAACTGAAATCCTTGGAATAACATCGGTAAAAGTAGCAATAGTAACATCTAAAACATGCAAGGATGTTGTCTCTTAAGGACCATGGTTGGAAAAAAACAGGTGTTAATGATAGGAAAGGCAAGTTAAGTTAGCAGTAAGGAGTACATTGTGTTAATATACATTAAGATGAGTTATAAGATGAGTTTAAAAAATATAAATTACATTGTGTTTATTTAAGGAAGTTGGTTGTGCAACAAAAAGAAAATGTATATGAGAAACAGATCCAAGATCAATATTATGAACAAATAGTTTTGAACTATGTAGTAGCACAAAAATAGAAATAGAAGTAAGGCAAACAAAAGAAAACATTGAGAAAGAATATATATAAGTAGTATGAACAAAAAAAAAAAATAAGTTGGATGAGCTGTTTTTCAGAATGTAAACAATTATGTGGCAATTTGCTTCCATGAGTTTTTTTTAATTTAAATTAATTTTTATTACAGTGTTGACATGATTTAATTAAAGTATTATTGGCCATGGACCATATCAGTAATATACTTACCACTCAGCTCTGCTCAATGATTGTGAGACTAAAGTGTAGAAAATCTTTGCAAATTTCACCTAACATTAGTTTGCCAGGGCTGCTCAGTGGCACAGTGGGTGGCACTGCTGCCTTGCAGCAAGAAGGTCTTCCCTTCCCGGGGTCTTTCTGCATGGAGTTTGCATGTTCTCCCTGAGCATGCGTGGGTTCTCTCCGGGTACTCCGGCTTCCTCCCACAGTCCAAAAACATGACTGTTAGGTTAATTGGCTTCTCTAAATTGTCCTTACGTGTGAGTGTGTGCATGAATGGTTGTTTGTGTGTCTCTGTGTTGCCCTGCGATAGACTGGCGACCTGTCCAGGGTGTACCCCGCCTCTTGCCCATTGACTGCTGGAGATAGGCACCAGCACCCCTCGCGACCCCACTCGGGACAAGCGTGTAAAGATGGATGGATGGATTAGTTTGCTAGTGAAAACCCCTATAAATGTCATAATCTGTTTTTCTTTCTTTTTTCTACAGATAAATAAATACAGATAAATAAATACAAATAAACTATTACTTGGTTTAGTATCCAAGTAATATGACGACACATGCTTCCTTTTTTAAAATATGGATATGTTTCAACCGATACACAAAATAAAACATATAGAAGTCTACATTTAAAAACTTACACAATATAAAATAATTCACAAAAACTAGCCATTCAAAAAACGAAAAGCACAAAAAATAGAACAAATTAAACTAAAAAAACAAACCTCTATGTACTAGTTTGTGAATGCCTTTTAGCCTTTTACTAACCCTTAAACAGTATTGATGCCATGCTTGATCAGTAGGTGGCACTACTGTTCTGCCTCAATGTACTGTAAGATTTCACCTTATGATGTAAAGGGGGCTGCACTAGTCTTGCTTTTTCAACTCAGGGAAAACTGTGAAATCTCAGATAAATTTTCAGTTTTGGATGCAGGAATTTATACTGCCTAGCAGCTAATCAGCAGTTCTATGGGGTTCCCTTAAGAGAGAGAAATATATATATATACAACAAAAGCAAAATTGTTTTGTCTTTGAAGAACAATTCTTCAACTGATCATTTACTACCCCAGCTGGTTACTTAACGGAGACAGATAGGGCAATCGACTGTCAGCGAGAGTTTGATGTCATTATGCAATACATTTTTTTTTCTCTCCATGACAGCAAAACGCTAATGCCCTGTTACTAAGCCCATTTATTCAAACTAATATGGCAGAGTGTGTTCTGTTTTTTCATACCAGTAGCTAAATCTTTTATGCCAATTTTTGCAGTTGGACTCTCAGTTTACAATCTCAAATTCTGTGTTTGTGAATGTGTGTTGGTAAACTGATTTCTTTTTTGAAGTCACATTGTTTTTTGGAGGTGGTCTCATTTCTACAAATACATATTGTTTTACTTCTTTAGTTTGTTGAGCTGCAATTTTTAAACCCTTCAGAATTTAATATTGATTTAATTCTTAATGATTCTATATATTTACTTATCTGCATAGAGACACAAATGAACCTATTTTGGAGGTAACAACATTTTCTTACTAGGAAGGATATCTAGCAAAAATATGATCTGTTGCACACTGGTGGTGAGGAAAGCTACTAATGGAGGTAAATCTAAGCTAGAGCGGTCAAGTACTGAGTACCTATAGAATATTTAGTGGTGTCATTCAGTACCAGGAAGACCTGGTGTCTGTTTTAATATGCCCTACTCTGTTCTTCCAACCTCAACTCACAATTAACAATCTGAGGTGTTCAGCATTTAAGTACAACTCATGTTTTTCAGTTGCCTTTTGTGCCTAAATATACGATTTGAAAAATGCTGCCAGTAGGGTGTAAACCAGTGGATCACTGAACGTTCAGCGGGGTGAGAGGTGGGCACAGTCTCAGCTGTGACTGACAGCAGTACACTGGCTTTTACAGCAACAAAAATATGGGCAGCAGAGTAATCCCAATGGTGGCAGATGCGACGCAGCAATTGTATGAGGAAAATAATTTCCCTCCACCATGTTTACCAGAGATGGCTTATATTGGGGGGAAGAGAGGAAAGGTCCCATTTACATACTACTCCATTGCATCCCTAAAAGTCTACATATGCCAAACATCCG